AAATGAAATCCATTCTCTAAATACAATTCCTGAAAGATTACACTAGCATAATAGCTAATTATGACCCATTACAAATAATAGAAAAAATATTCTAGAAAGATAGGAATGCATTAACATTTGATTGGACAATCATGCAAGAGCAAAAGTCGTATAAGTAATAATAGAGATTACAAAAGTCTAGATATCAATCTCATGAGAATTAGTTAAAGAAATTCCTAGAATGAGTATCTTTTTTTATCCTTATAAACTTCTAAAGTTGGTTTGATCAAAAAATAAGTATGAAAATTAATTGTAAAAATAAAAGTGAATAAAGCATAAAAAAATATAAAGCTAAGTAAAAGAGAAAATGAACAGGAATAAAAACTAAATACATGCTATAAAATGTAAAATTTAGTAGCTAAATCAAGGAAAAAAAACAAATTTAAAGTAAAATTGAAGTGATAAAAATGCAAGATGCAAATAACATTGCAAAACTAAAAATTCTCAACTAACTTAGACTAAACTGTAACTTGCAATATAATATGAAATCTAAATGGCAACAAGACAATGAACTAAAGCTCAAAAATTGTAAAATTAAGTAAAGGACTATAGTAAAGACAAGTATGAAATTTAAATAATAAAAAAAAGATTTAACATGGAAAGTGCAAATCAAAAGTTAGTGCCAAAATTTAGAAATTCAAATGTTACTGAATTTTGTACCTAATTGAACATGAACTAAACATTCATAGAACATTAAAAGAACAATGTGAAAATGCAAATTGAAGAACATGAATTAAAGAAAAATTGCAAGAATCAATGAAAGAAAGTTAAAACTGAAACTAGCAAAAATTTTGTAAATTGAATCTACTAATCTAGATCTCATTTATGTAATTTAAACTAAACATAAGCTGTAAATTTAAAGTTTAACTAAGGAACAATATAAGAAAGTAAAGAGAAGGTAAAAAATTCCAGAAAAGTCACATGAAGGAACTAACATTTCTTCAAACAGAAACTATTCTGAAACAAAATTTAACCAAATCATAGAGGAAATATAGATTTGAAAATTTCTAAATAACATGATCTTAAATTGACTACAACAAGATCAAACAACAAGTTTACTATAGATTTCTATAAAAATTTAGCAAAAAAAAAAAAAGAAAAACAAGCTTAATTAGTTAGCAAACTATACAACACTTAAAAATACAGAAAACAAAGCATGTAATACAAATGTGATCCAAACAACAATCAAATGTAAAGAAATAAATTGAATCAAGCAAGAATCAATAAGTAAACAAGTAAAACTAAGAATTTATAGTGAAAAGAAGGCAAACAAATTACCAAAGTGGAGAAATGTCCACGTCAAACTTGATAGATCAAAATTGGCTTGCACCTATCATCTTAATCCAACTAGATCTTCGAAGTTTGATCTAGAATGTTGTGGCATGAATTTGAGGCTGAATTTAAACTATGTTATAACTAAATGAATTAGGAAATTGTGAAAAAACCTTTAAGCAAAAAAACAAGATTTGAATGAGATATGATCTGAAACCGCAACTAGGTCAGAACAGGCAGATTCAAAAATGGATTTGAGTATCAATGAAAAATCAATAGGTTTGGACTAGAAAATGAATGTAAATGAAAATTTTTTTGAAAGATTCTGAAACAGCATTTAAAAACACTTAAGAAATAGTAAAATTAGAATGAAATTCAAAGAAAAAAGATTAGAAATAAAGTGTTTGACAACTAAGAAAATGTAAAAACTAGAAATGAAAATGTAGGAAAGTAAAGAAAGAAAAATTTAAATCCTAATCTAACTCCCTTTTTATGGCTAGCCTTCTGCCTTTTTTTATAGGCAAAGGGGAGGAGTTTAAGGTCCTAAAAAAAATCTAAAATGATCTTCAGTTTCTAGGCTTATAAAGCTTTCATGCTTTTTGGTGCTACAACATTGGTGCATATCCCTGGTCTGGTTGTTTGGCTATTTTCTTCAACAAACTTCAAGCTACATTTTTCATGTGTAATAGGTGGTCTCAGAACCAATTACAGCCTCTTAAAATGCCACATCAACTTTTTTCTTTAATGCTTTTAGACCCAGCTTGAAATGCCTTGCAATTGCATGTTTCTCTATACATCCATATACATATCCTATATTCTTCATGACCTTTAAAATTTTTTTTCTACAAAAAATTTTTAAACATTTTATGAACATTTTTATCCTACATTTTACCAAAAAAATAATTATGAAAATAATACTAAAATGTTCAAGAAAAGTTAAAAAAACTCTTTAAATGTCAATGTGATCTATTGACACTAATTTATGCCATTTGAACAAATTTGCACCAAAAGTCCTCCTAATTGACCAAAATTTCTCATTTTCTTTAATTGCACCTACACATAGGATAAAAGGTGCGTCTAGGAGTAATTTGCAAAAATCCTAAGGAACCAGCAAAAATATAAGTAAAATTGCACTAAAAATAAGTACAAAAAAGCTAAAAATAAAGTGCAATCAACATTAACCATTCAAGATGTTCCTAATTGTCCTATTAGGACTTTTTCACATTTACTTCAAGTTAAACCCTTAACATGAGCTTCATTTGGCATTCACCAACACCTACAACAATCTAATTACTTGCCCAAAACAAAAAACACAACTTAACCCAAAAAACAAAAAAACTCCATGCATGAAAAAAAATCAATTCAAATACAAAACCAAAAACCTTAAACCACAAAAATAACAATCTATACAGTGCATTAAAAAATGAAATAATAAAACAAATAACATGTATGCACATAAGAAATAATGTAAAAATAACTCAAATTAATAGTTAAAACATCAAAAACATTTTCATCCACAAAAAAAAAACCCACAAAAATGAAGGAAAAAGCATGAAACAAAAGAAAAAACTAACATTCTAACAAAAAACCACCTTTGATTACTAATCCAAAATAAAAAATACACCACTTAACAGCAAATATCAACATGCATTAAAAAAAATCAAAACACAAAAATGAAACACACAAACCAAAAAAACAACAATTTGAATAATGCATAAAAAACACAAAAAATAAACTGAAAAACAACTTAAATTATTGGTTCAATAGTCTTAAATTTACCATCGACCAAAAAAAAAAACCTAAAAAGTGAAAAACAAAGACATAAGAAGAAAAGAATAAACAGACCCAAAAAAATAAAGAAAAAATAAAAAAAACATACGTACAAAAATCAAAGAAAAAAAAGTAGAGAAATAGTGAAACCTGAGAAGAAAAGTCTGAAAATAAATAAAAGCAGGAATATTGAATTTGGTTAAAAGAACACCTATTCTCAAATTAACTTGCCAATCTTTTTTAATAACATTATTGACTTGTCAATGTTAAAATTTAAAAGGGATACTTATTATATATAATTATATATATAATATAGTTATTCTACTTTTCAAATACAAGAGTTAGTTACATCTACCACACTCTTAGATTTTAGGCTCATTTGGATTGTCAGTTACTGCCAGTGCAGCACAATGAGAGCATTCAATTGCGCTGAAAAGCTTGTTTGGATAACAAGGTTCGGTGAGATTAACCTTCAGTTATCGAACTGAAGCTTCAGTGAGTTACTAAAGCTTAAGGGGTCTGGTGAGATTTTCTCTCCCAATCCAGCTTTTTGTTTCCATTTCAGCCCACGTTTCAATTTTTTTTACTCTTTTACCCTTGGCATTATTGAGCTATAACAAAAATATCCTGATCACTAACCTTTGGTTTTTTTTTATTCCTTTTATTTTTATAATATTCAAATAATCTTATATAAATAAATATAATTATATAATTACATAATAATTTTATTAATTTATTATAATAAATAAATTTTATTTATTATAAAATAAATTAATAAATAAATAAAATTCTTATCAATTTTATAAATATTAAATAATTTAAAACTTATGTTAGTATAATTTTTATTTTGATGTCTTTAATAGTCATTTTCTCTTTTTAGTGCAATCAACCTCACTGCCACCACCGCTGTTGCATCCAAACACATATCTCACCACTAATTTTAATCTCATCATTACAATATTCAATCTCACTACTACAGTAACTAATTTCACCTCTACCGTTGTTTTCAATATCACGAAACCAATCTCATCGGCCATTCAAATAAACCCTTTGTATATTTTCTTTTTCTTTTTTTCATATTTCCTTTATATTTCTTATCTATCCTATCAATATGATGAAAAACATAAGCCATTCTATAATAGTTAGAGGTTAGAACACCTTTTCCCTATTTTTTGGGGATTAAATAACTATTAATATAAAATGCAAATATAATTTTTTTATACAAAAGAAAATTAAAGTTTGAAGATAACAAAAATATTATAGGTATTGAAATTTAAATATCAAATTTATTAAATATTATATTTTAAAAATTATTAAATTAATTAATTAAACTAAATCTTAATTTAAGTATGAAATTTAACTACTATATTTTTGTCAAATGTATTTTACCATTTCTAACAAAAAAAAAACTATGCTTTTCCAAATATATTTAAATGAGACAACATGAAAATTTTAACCCAACCTTATGATAACAAAATAAGATAAAATAACACATATTTTCAACTAAACATATCTACTTGTTTTGACAAGAGGGAAAAAATCTTCTTCCTAATTTGATGGGAGTTGAATATTTGGTTAGTCAACTCGAATCAAAAATTTGTTTTGGACTAACATTATTTAGGAGTTGAATATAATATAAGTATTTATTACTAATTTGTAAGTTTAAAATTTTGACCAAAGATTATCACAACCAATACCATAAAAGAAACAATTTTATTTTTAAATTAATTTAACTCAATTAATTTATATATTCATCCAAACATTAAATAAACCTAAAATTTCATTAATAAATTCACCAGATTTGTAGATTTACAGTCAATCTTTCTTTTTTTTTTTCATTGTCCAGCAATAAATGAAAATAAATAAATAAATATATAAAGTTTGACAAATAAAAAGGAGGAGACGGGGAAAAGGACGAAGGGAACAGTTTGCTTCAAAACTTGAAAGAGAGAGAAAGCAGAAACTTGAAAGTGGGAAGCATTGGGCCAAGGGGGGTTTGAACGGTCAAAAAGAAAGGCCTACTTGCTGTTGAAAAGCAAGAAAGAATAAAGAAAATCAATAATACATAGATCTCTGGGCTCATCTGTTTACTGTGAATTGTGACCTACACCTCCAACCAATAATAAAAAAAAAAAACACAGAGGAAGCTCTGAGCTGCATCTCCTCGTCCTCATTTTCCTTAAAAAAATAAAATCGAAAACGACACCAATCTACGCCACTTCACAGTGAAAGATCCATTTTAAGATCCGACTTCCATGCCCGTTTTATTCCTCTCAGGATTCTGCGTCAGTTAACTTTTTTTTCCTTGGATTTCTTGACCCGATCGGTAATTAATTTTCTCCACACTTTCTTTCTTATTCTTTTTAATTTTTATTTTTATCTTTGGTTTTGAATCTAATGGTTGCCGTGTTCGGCTGTTGGATTTTTTTTTCCTTATATTTGTTTACTTTTTGCTTGAGCTTTGCATCATCTTAGATCCTGCTTTCCTTCTAGGGTTTCAAATATTATTTCCTTACCCTTTTAACTTTTAATATTTTAGTAAACGATTTGCTCTGCTTGTTTCCCTGAGGAAGTGCGGGAAAGAAACTCCTCTTATTCGGTTAATTTCCTGTGTAAAATAAAATATGAACTTAACATGCAACAGTTAATGCTTTAAGGAAGAAACGGATAGCTGCTTTATCTAATTTTATGTAAACTTGTAGTTAAAATGGGCCTTTTAAAAAAGTTTTTTGTTCTTTTCTTCAAAGGATTTGAGATTTTAGAGCTGTTTTTTGGTTAATGCTATTTGAATGTTAGATGCATAGTCGATTTCTTTGAGGATGAACCATTAACATTATTTTTATGTGTTTTACAGGTAATTGATTGAGTTGTTTTGCTGGTTTAAAGAGGTGAATTTTCCACGTAGGATCTGGGAGATTCTCTTGTTTCTTTTACTTTAGTCCAATGGCTTCTGTAAGTATAGCGCCTACTTCAGGATTAAGAGAACCTAGTGGAAATACAGTCGGTGTTGATAGATTGCCTGATGAAATGAATGATATGAAAATCAGGGATGACAAGGTATGTTATTAGTTTTGGCAGTTTGTTTGCTTCAATAATTGGTTGTTGATCCTTCGGATCAGTTTTACAAAATCTATTATTATGTTGCAGGAGATGGAAGCAACTGTAGTTGATGGTAATGGAACTGAGACTGGGCATATAATCGTCACCACTGTTGGTGGTAAAAGCGGCCAGCCTAAGCAGGTTAAAGCTTATGATTTTCTCCTGGAGACCTAGAGTTTATTGAGTCCTATTTTTGGGTGTTTGATGATCTTGTAACTTAACCTTCTGATCATTTTCAGACAATAAGCTATATGGCTGAACGTGTTGTTGGGCATGGATCATTTGGAGTAGTCTTCCAGGTACACAGATTGATTTCATCCTCTCATACTTTTATTTTGTGGTATGTTCAGATTTCACAATGTAAGTTGAATTTTAGGTTTTGTACCAAATTATCTGTGTGGTATTTCAGGCTAAATGTTTAGAGACAGGTGAAACTATTGCTATTAAGAAGGTTCTTCAAGACAAGAGATACAAGAACCGTGAATTGCAAACCATGCGTCTTCTAGACCACCCCAATGTTGTCTGTCTGAAGCATTGTTTCTTTTCAACAACTGAAAAAGATGAGCTCTATCTTAACCTGGTGCTTGAGTATGTTCCAGAGACTGTCCACCGGGTTATCAAACATTATAATAAGATGAACCAAAGGATGCCGCTGATATATGTTAAACTCTATGTTTACCAGGTATAAGCTTGGTTAAATTATTCCCTTTTACTGTCTTTTTCTTTATAGAAACAATAAATCCATGTAATATGCATCCCTTACATGAAATCGATCTTATTATTGTCTTTTCTTTATGCAGATTTGCAGAGCGCTTGCTTACATTCATAACAGTATTGGTGTGTGCCACAGGGACATAAAGCCTCAAAATTTATTGGTATGTTTTCAAGCAGCTTGCTAAATGCTTTCTATTGGTGGTTAGTAAAGCTATATCAGTTTTTAAATCTCTACCTTACCACCAGAGAAACTTTGTCTGGAAACAGTTTGCTGGTTAACCTTGTTGATAATTTAAAAAAGGATGACTGGGAGTTTGGCAAGGGAAAGAACAATCTAGTATTCTGACAAATCTATGCATGGTATTATACTATAATAATGTGAAATTTGAATCTTATGCTGAAGTGCTTTGTGATCTTAAAAATTTAAACAGAATGGGTTTCTAAGATTATTGGAGCACTGTTATCACCTTTAAGTTCACTTAAAGATATTGCCTTCATGATGTCCCTTGTTGTCCAATGTCTTGTTTCTCATTTTGGGGAATAACGCAGTTTTCCCATTTCATCTGTTTATTTACCATATAAAGTTGGGTTTATCTATCATTATAATTAAATCATTGACTCTTTTATGCATACTCTCTCATTATTACAATGGTTTCTTGTGACAGGTCAACCCGCACACCCACCAGCTAAAACTGTGTGACTTTGGAAGTGCAAAAGTTTTGGTATGTACATTGGAATCTTAAAATTTTTTATTTGCTTCTTTAGACACTATCTAATTGTTCATGAGCCTAATTTTGGTTTGACTTTGACAGGTAAAAGGGGAACCAAACATATCTTACATATGTTCTAGGTACTATCGAGCACCTGAATTGATATTTGGTGCAACCGAATACACCACGGCCATTGATATCTGGTCTGCTGGTTGTGTTTTGGCTGAACTATTGCTTGGACAGGTAGATAGTTTCCTTGTATATATTTTTGGTTATATATGAATATTTCCTTTCATATTACCTAATATGTATATTTTCTACTCCAGCCTCTGTTTCCTGGTGAGAGTGGAGTAGACCAGCTTGTTGAAATTATTAAGGTAACTTTTAGTTCAAAATTCTCATCAATAAGAGTTTCAACATTATCATCATTGTAAAATACTTGAATAAAACACGAAGGATGGCAGATATTAACCCATCCGTGTTCTTTCCTTATTGGTGTCTCTTAATAATGTGGCATTATTGACACTGGATTTCTGATTTATCTTGCCTCCTGTTCTACATTATTGACACTGGATTTCTGATTTATCCCACCTCCTGTTCTGCTATACTTTGATTATTTTCTTCTTTGCGATTCTGAGTTATGTGATTTTTATGCAGGTTCTAGGTACCCCAACAAGAGAGGAAATAAAGTGCATGAATCCTAACTACACAGAGTTCAAGTTTCCTCAAATTAAAGCTCACCCATGGCATAAGGTATTGGGGATCACATTTCTTTGTGAAATAATTGTTGTCTAACATATCGAATTGATCAATGTATCATTGGTATGCAGATATTTCAAAAGCGTATGCCTCCTGAAGCTGTGGATCTTGTTTCACGACTATTGCAGTATTCTCCAAACCTTCGCAGCACAGCTGTAAGTATCAAACTTGGTACAACTTTGTTAGTGTTTTTTCTCTGTAGTCTGTATTCATCCTTATTCTAGTAAGAGAAGTTTCATTCAATTATGAAATTGCCTTCTTGGTTATATTCATACTCTGTTTACCATATTATTTAGATAATCATGTGTGGCTCTTTGATTTACTTTTCTATTCATACTGTATTTGCTTTATTATATTTCAAGTTTGCTAGATATTTCCCTTTTATGTACTATCTTATGATGAGTTTTTATTTTCTATGCAGATTGAGGCTTTGATTCATCCATTTTTTGACGAGCTACGTGATCCAAACACCTGCCTACCTAATGGACGTTTTCTTCCGCCAGTATTCAACTTTAAGCCTCATGGTAACAAACCAGTACTGCATTAATGTTTCTGCTATTTTAACCTATTGAACTGCGGAACTCTGATGGTTGTTGTTGTCCTGTCATTGCCATTTATCAGAACTGAAGGGAGTGCCTGTGGATATGCTAGTAAAGCTGATCCCCGAGCATGCAAGAAAGCAATGTGCGTTCCTTGGATTATGAGGCGGTTCTATCTGCCTGATGTCTGCTTCTTGCAGAAATTGTGGTGTATTGTAGAGAAGTAGCTAGTGGCCTGTTTCAGTTTATATCATATTGAAGCCGTTGTTAATTGCTTTTTCACCCTCAATGTCTATTTGTTCTCTTTATTAATTTTTTTTACCAATATCTATTAATGAGTATGTTGATCCCCTTATTTCCAATTTATGACAAATTACAAATTGGATTCAAAGTTGTCGCCTTTTAGCATAATTCAGGTGACCCGTGTTTGAGTTAATAATGGAATTCGAACCCTGTTCCTTGATCCTTAGCACGCCGGGATAGCGTGTTTTCGCTCCTAGCTTTGGTGCTTTCTAGCAGATGGTAGATGATGCTTTCAGCAATAGCTAGCCGTGTACCTAAGCAAGATATGGTAGAAAAGCAAGGTTTATGAAGTAGTCTCCGGTTGAATTCTCATACCATGGCCAGCAAGTATTGACTCCGTCTAACTCGATGTCTTAATTTTAAACATGTTATAGTGAGGTAACGCGACATAATTTAAATTTTAATAAAAGTAAGTGTTATATTTAATTTGTCAATTTGTGATATAATAATTTTATATAAGACATGAAATCTACAAATATAAATACCCGAATTATAAATCTACAATCAACAAACATGATTGATTATATATATGACGTATGGCTTATTTTTCTTCTCAAGGTTTCATTTTAATATTTTTTTTCAAATCTTTTAAAAGCTAACTTGACATTGTCAATTACGTCTCGTGCAAAATTAAAGGAGTATATTATTTATAATTATTATATTATAATTAATTAATTATAATTTAGAATTATATGATGAAGTTTACCAAAATTTTATATGTAATGTACTTTTATTAGTAGACTTTTAATATACTTCGTTATTGTGATTAAATAGTTATAGGATTATAGTTAAAAGAAAAGCGAGTGAAATGCTCCCAAAATTAGAGTATTTTTTAGTGTTCACACTCAAATTATAACTGCAAAATGTAATATTTAACTTCATTAGAAATAATGTGATCCAATTTTTTTATTAATTAAAATAAATATTTTTATACAATTGTTTTAATTAAAATTTAAAAAGACAAAAAAAGGGAATACGAAAAAAAGAAAGATAAAGAAATGAGAAATAGAGCTCAACAGAGTATTACATGTACATTCCAATTGAGCTTAAAATATTAATATTTTAAATTAAAGTATCAAATAATAATTTTATTAATAAAAAATAAAAAAAGCATAATGGATAAATAAATAAAAAACAAAATAAAATAAAAAAGAGATTATTAGGTATCACGTGGACATCTAAATTGAGCTTAAAATATTAAAATATTAATATAAGGTACAAATAATAACTTTATTAATATAAACATATATAAATATAAAATTAAATGATAATAAAATATATATTTTTATATATACTACTAGCTTTTTAGGTGAGATATTGATTCAAGAGGGGTGAATTAGATTTCTTCAAATTCTTTTCCAATAATGTTTTCAAAATAATTGAATGAAAAATTAAAATCAATATCAAAATATGATGTAAATAGCAATAAATTATGAACTATAAGCAAATATAAACTATAATCAAAATAAAGATATAATAGATAAATTAAACACAATGATTTATAGAGGTTTAGTCCTTCTCTACAAGGTACTACATCCTTTATCTTTGTTGTATAGCTTGGATACAACAAATACAAAAGATATGGATTTTAAGCTCTAACAACTCTTGATTCTTTAAGAGAATGAAAATATAGCTTTTTAGTTCTTGCTTTCTTGATTCATTAACTTTCTTAATGTGTTGGAGTGCCCAATTTATAGAGGAATAAAAAACTAGCCGTTGGGGATGGTTTGGAAGAAGAAAGGCCTGTTGGAAGCTCGAAAAAACTAGCCGTTGGAGTATTTCTGGGCATAGAGTACCAATCCCTTTTTGGTACCAATCGATCCCTTTTCAAATCCTGGAGCAAAATTTTTATTCTGGATAAAAAACTAATCAATCTCTTTTTAAGGGGATTGATATTGTCTAGCAAGGTGGTTGTCTTATGTTTTACACTTTACTCACTTATTTGATCATATCTTGAGTTATACAAATCCAAATAAAAAATCATTTGAAGATTTAGAAACTAGACTTAAAGGGCTTTCTATCCATATAAATTCATAACCTAATTCATTGTATACGAATTATAGTGAATCTTCAAAACTACCCCTTGTGCAGTTTTTAGACAATTACAAAATGTCTAGTAAAAATTCAAAATCTTTTCTTAAAAAATTTGGATTTTGATTTTGTTTAATCCATTAGAAAGTAGACTTAAAGAGCTTTCCAACCATATAAAATTCAAATATTAAAGCTTTGTGAATTAATATAGAAAAATAAAATAAGTTCAATGTTGGAAAACTTTATTCTTGTAAAATAACTTTTCTAAGTCAATCTATTTCTCAAAACTAATATTATCAAAATTGTATTAAGTCCAAAATGAATAAGTTCACTTTAAAAATAATAGTGGAACTTTCATTTAAGCTCAAATAAATAATCTTTAAAGATAGATTTGGTTTGAGAAATATGAAAACAAAGAAAAGTTTGTTTACACTTTGAAAAATATATTATTTATTTAGTATCAAAATATAAAACTTAAGAACATGTACTAAATAAATCTTTTTTAAAATCATGATCAACCTTTAGCATAATGTTTTGTCATTTCAAAATAAGGTTCAATTCAAGGCTAATATATACTATGGAGTGATTTGGAAGAAAGCACCCTAAATTCACTTCTGACCCTTCCTCGCTTAAAAAAAAAAAAAACCAACTTGACACGACTTGATACTATTTTTTACAAAAATGCTCTTCTCGAATCAAGACGGATCAAAAGTTATCGGATATTAATTGTTTTACCATCCTTAACAACCAACTTATTTTGTTGTAAAATTTATCTAATTAATAAACATAAAAAAGAAAAAAAAAAGGAAAAGAAAGGAAAAAACAAATAATCGTGCTACGTGGATACCTTCATCAACATTATTTCCTTGCAAAATTTATTTAGTAAAAAAATAAAAAATAACAAAAAAATATTTTTTATAAATAATATCAAATAAGTCTTAGCATAATCTAAAAAATATTATTTATTAAATATGAAAAGAAGAAAAAAGAAAAAATTTAAAAGACACATACATACAAATATAATTATTATAAAATATATTTATAACTAATACAAATATTAAATTAAGATATCCATTTTATGATATCTTAGCTTTCCATGTATTTTTGTAACCTCTAACTATCCAAATTTGATCATGGGCCTACATTTGAAATTGAATAACTCTTAGACCACATGTTTCTATTTTTCTTACTGTTTTATTATTTATCTTATATGCTAAGAAAACAAAAAAAAAAAAGTCTATGAATTAAAAGTGTTGATGGTGTCTTTTGGGTGTCTTAGCCAAAAGAAAATAAGGTAGGGTTAAAGGGAACATAGTTTAAACCTGTAGCCAAAGAACACAGTCAAGAAGCACCAGAGTTGTTGTTATGGGGCACATTTCGATGCTCAAATCAATAAGATATCCTAAGTAAAATAAGGTATGGAGGGAAGGAAGGAAAAAGGATGTGGTCTAGTATGTGTAGGAAGCTTCAAAGAAGGTAAGTTTTAGAGAAGGTAAGCTTAGGTGTGAAGCATGGAAATGTCCTACATACTTGGGTTTTTTGACTATCTTATGTATGAGATGATGATTGGTGATAAGACCAGGGTAGTTGATGGTTGAAAATTGATAAGATGTATATGTGAAGCTCAATAAAGGTCCATTTAAGTATATATGAGTAGCATTTAATGATCTTGACAAGTTGGATGCTAAGTGGTCAGTTTTGAAATGACTATCCTAACGAGATGTCATGATATAGTAGACACACTTAAACGACTTTTTTTAAACAAATAAAACAAGAGTTCATTTTCAACTAAATTATGTACAATGCTAAGGATAATAAAGATTACCACTAACAAATGATCCAATATACATAAAAAAATATTTACACAGATGAAAAAAATGTTAGGTACAATTACAAGTGTGCAATACATAATAAAAAATGAGAATTCATTTCTAATTAGACAATGTAACAAGATTAAAGGAAATAAAATTGCTCTAAAATAATGTGCGTACAATGATGTTCACATAGATGAAAAGAAATATATATACAAATGCACAAATTCATTTCTAACTAGACTAAATGCATCCTAAAGAAAGCAAAAACTACCCAATCAAATGAAATAATGTACAAACAAGAATGTTTAGATGGATCAAAAGATATATATACAATTACATGTATACCAAAAAATGGTTCATCTTTAATTATGTATAAAAGCAAAGAGAGCAAGGTTTGCCCAAACAAATGAAATAATGTACATACAATGATACGTTCATGAAAAAATGTACAAACACATGTATCAATTACATAATGAAAATTGAAAATTATATAGACAATTGAAGCGAACATATGGAATAATGTAATAATGAAAAACAAGATTCACTAAAAAAAAGGTAAAGTTCCCCATGATTGATGTTTACACATTCACATCTTATCCATATACATGGACAAGTGAAATAATGCTTGTATAAAAATGTTAACATGGATGATGAAATAAATATATGTATCTAATGAAATAATATCAAGTGATGCAAAAAAAAAAAAAAAATCCTCTCAAAATATCATGTTTTTCTTTTTGAAGTAAAACAAAATCTATTTGAAAAAACTTTTTTTTTAAATTTAAATTAGAAAAATCAACAAATACAAGATTGATACAAAGACATGTCTTACATAGGGGATTGATAGTTCTATTCTACCTTAAGGTTGAGCTCTCTAAGTTCAGTATATGCTTGGTTATGATGTTTCATAATTTAAAAGGTTCCCAAATTGTTGCCTACTATCATCTATGATGGACTAGTACGATGCTCCAATCTGCACCCATCATAGGCTACAAATGGAAAAGATTCAATTTGAGTGAAAGTATTTCGCTAGCCTATACAAAGGCATGAAACTTCATGAAATCCTAGGTACTTTACTCCCTATAAAGAGATGGAGTCAGGGTATAGAGCTCATGCATGCATGTACAAATAGTGTGTGCAAAAAAGACCATTAATGGCTAGCAAACATAAACTAAAAGAAT